GGGGGAGGGAAAATTTAATTTCTAATCGTGTTTTCTGAGCCTTCAAATCACTCACAGCTGGCACTGTTCCTACAAACTAAAACGTGAAGAAGCCAGCTTTGACTGAAAGCTGGGATTCTCCACTTCAGCTGTCAGTGGAGTGACAGAAAGGAAAGGCTGCAGTGACTCCCTGCACAGGTCTTCCTGCAGGGCCAACCACGGAAAAAGATTAAACACCATAAATCCATGAGACACATCCTCTACACCAGCTGACCTCCCTTTGGGTCAGAGCAGGGGACACGGCTGAGGCTGCAAAGACACAGTTTTCACTTTCTCAGCTACAGCTGTTCTTCAGAGTCTGCAGATCAGATTAATCTGTAGAGCTGTCACCAGGCATCTTTTACAGATATTAAATTCATGTAATTTTTCAAAAGGATGAAAATGCACCAATGCAGATGGTGAGTCTGCATTTTGGCCTTCTTAAGCAAGGAATATTATCAGGAAGGAAAACTGCTGGAACCCCTTTGAACTGTGTGTTCTCTGTGAAGACCACCTTCAGAAGCAAAAGCTGGAGGTGTTTTCCTCTTTCTTTCTCAGAAGACCCACAAAACACTCCAGCAAACAAAAGCCGAGGTTTCTACTCAAAACAAAACATTCTATTAAAAAAGCAATATAAATTAGATTTTCTATGGGCCTAGACTCCATGCCAGTTTCTCATAATTGTAGGAATAATTTCACTGCCAATAAAGTAAATGCTAATATATGAAAACTACTGCCTTTTTATCTTACTTTGTGTTTTTTGAAGTTAAAATATTGTTTAATCTCCTCAGTAAGATGTATGCTAAAGTAGAAAAGGAACTTAAAACAGAAAGTTGGAAAGAGTTTATACTTTCATCATAAAAACATAGCCTTTTTCTTCTTTCTTTTTTTTTTTTTTTTTTTTTTTTTTTTTTGGCGGGAATAAATATTGAAATGAGATTCCTACCAGAAAATAGCTTTTTCAGGCACACCAGATATCCCTTGGTTCAGCAGAATATTTAATCCCCTTGGATCAGGCACTTGGATTTTCTTAGATCATGCTGAGATAACAGCATTCTGCTGTGCTCTGGCACCATAAAACCCTTGCTTATGAAAATAAAAAGAAAAATACGGCCTCTCTGGGAACATACATCTCCGCATTACTTTTTTTCCATAGTTTAGACATTGTAGTCTCAAAAAACTAATTTTTACACTGCTAGACCACATTCTCTTTATGAGTCACGGCCAAAGCTCTCCCGCACCGCTGTGTGACGTGCACAGGACCCCTCGAAATGATGATGCTCTCACAGCCTTGGCTCTGACCCCAGCTCACGCTGGGCAGGTGCCAGCCAGTGACTGAGTCAAACCCCCTCCGACAGCACCATCTAGTGAAAAAAAAAAAAAACCCAGAAAATAAACACATGCAAATTTAAACAGTTTTCACTGCATTCTGGAAACGAACAAAAGGCCAATTCTCTCCTAATCTCCCATTACAACTGCATTTAGGTATAGCTTTCATCAAGGCTCTTTGCCTTGTGAAGTGTGGTGACAAGTAGAGAAAGATTCAGCAGCTAATTGTGAGCTTTTTGTCTAAATCTGGAACACCACTTGGAACACATATAAACTTGCCCCTGTTTATTTTTCCCATGCTAAACCTGCATTTTTCTTGCTTTTATGAGAAATAGAAGTGCTTTTTAATGCTTTAAAATTACTGATAGCATAGCATTTTCTGTTTCGTGCTGTGCTAGTGGGAGGTGATTTTTTAAGACAAGTAGCTCCAGAATAAAACCAAAATAATATGTACATACATATAGATATGTATGTATATATTACATACATATATATAATCTCAACAACTTTTTTAGCTTTCAATTTCATGTTATTGTAATATCTTGTATGACTACAATAGTAAAGCATGAAATTATTTTTCATTAAAAAGGGCACACTCAGCTTCCATCTGTAATTTCAATGTGACCCGGCTCCCTGCTTTCAAAAACACTACCTGCTGAAATTATGCAGGTGCTCAGATTTTTTACAGGGTCAGAGTCAAATACTTTGGCTATTTGGAGGAAATAAAACAGTATATCTATCAATTGTGAGTGCTTTTAATTGGTCTTGTTTAATTAGTTTTCCAGTCAGGAGGAAACAGATTCTGTTCATTTCCTAATGCATGTCTTCAGTGCCACACAACTCCAGTTTCATGGGATTACTTGAGGTCTCAAACCACAAACTTTACGTGGCCAGAGTTGCTCCATTCTCACTGCCCAGTTAAGCCCAAGCCAAAGCCATCTGCAGGACTCCCATACTGGTAGGTTGCTGGTACACTGCTGCTCCTTTCAGCTCTCTCCCATTTAGTACTATTTTGTCACTAAATCACCTGCCCTCCTTTGTTCACCTACAATGACAATGGTACCTACTTGAATTGTCTGGCTCCAAATAAAAATTATTACTGTCAAATAATAAAAAATCCTTCTATAGACACAAAAAATAAATTAACTCCTACTGCAGAGCAGTAGAAAGAGTGCTCTCCTAAAGTTTCATTTCTCCTTACAGCACCATTTGGTTTGGGGGTTTGCACTCTGTTTTTTCTTGTTTTGTGTCTTAATCCTTGCATGCTGTTACACTTTATTTTACTTCCTTCTTTCCATTTTGCAATGTCTCTTCAACCAGCCTGCTGTGATTAACTCTACCCCTAAGAATTCAGTGACATCCATTTTTGACAACTTGTAATGCTACCTTAAAGAAAAATCTCTTATGAAATAAGAGAACAGGAAATTTCACAGGGGAGATGCCAACGGGAGTGAGATGCTGACATTTATATTTGTGTTTCAAGGTGCCACAACTCCTTGGAAAGTCCCATGGAAACTGGATAGAGCAGAGAGCACATTGACCCATCTACTGCTTTGGATGGATGGCTCCCCATAATCCCCACAGCTTTCATCAAAGTTACCACAGTTAATCCTTTAAGAAAACAATATCAGACTGTGCCAATATTGAACCAACACACAACTGCTTATTTCCCATAAAACCCATGACTGTAGGATTTCAGTTTTAGAAATTAACCACAGTTTTTCTCACTATGTAGAACAGGAACACGGATGCATCATTCATCCATTCCCTCACTACTTCGAGAGGAAGATAAAACAGAATAGGAGAAATACACTTTCTGATGCCTTGAGGAGCTCGAACAGAGGCTACACACAGAGTTAAGGAGAATAAAATGGGTATTTATTGTGAGCCTACGAAAGACCTACAAAAGCCACACCCCAGCAATATAAGTGCCACAGTCGTGGCCCCTGCCTGGATGGCTCCAAGATGGAAGGAAATGAGGAGCTGGTCACAAAATCTCACACTTTTATAGGTTCTGGTTAATTTGCATGAACCCACCCTCCACCTTTCCACATAGCTCATGCTTAGGGCCTGAAGTTTGGAGAAACTGTCCTTGAGTTCTTAACTAGAACAGGACTTTTTTGTCTTCATCACTCTAGCACATCAGAAAAGCATATCCAAGGAGAACAGGAAAACTTAAAATTAAAGGCATCAATTCCACAGTGGATATTACACACACTGTGTGCAACCCTGAATGCTTTGCATGCACCTTCCCCTGCCTGGATTGCCCAGATACGGACAACACACACTGCACACAGGATGAACAAACCAAAACAAGCTCCATGATTTCACAGGGTGGGGACAGGGAATGAAACCTCACTTGTTAAGTTGTCACTAGAAGTCATTTCACACAGACAACACACATGTAAAATATTATACTGCAAAAGTGAGTAAGACATTACCAGGAGTAAAATTAATCACAGACATTGGCAGAAGTTATGGATAAAAAAATCTAGTTAGAGTAAAAAACCCAAAACAAATTTAATCTACACAGAAAGAAAATGCTAAACCACAAAAAGGAAAAACCAAACCCAAACCAAATCAGGAAAAAAAACCAAAAAAGGTACTGAATGCAGAAATAAATGTATCGATGCTCTTGGCTGGCACTAATTATGTTACATCTAGGAGTTCAAACATCTTACAAGTTAGTTAAAAATAATGTGGAGGAATGAAGACACTTTCATACAGAATTAGTGAGATTGATACTAAATTTAATACGCTATATTCTTACAGCAGTCATATTAGGTATAGAACCTCAGCATATTTAACAGAAAAATAGACAAAAAATATTAGAATTGATGGGGGTCATAAGTGAACTTTTTCATGTGAATAGTGGTGATACACCTACTGATACTACTAGAGCATTGCTACAATACCTGCTTTGAACAAATATTTAAATTGCTAGTTAGCATTTTCTCAATATAGTGACAGTGTTTCCAGAAGTTAAATAATGGTCATTTATTTAAAAATACTAAGAAATCTGTGATTTAGCAGGGGATATCCCAGTAGTGAGATACAACAAATTTATAGAATTTTGAATGTTTAAAATCATGCCTCTCCTACCTCAAAACTAAAGCTCTTCAATGAAATCTTAGATGGCAGGACACAAATGTGTCAAAATTTGTTGATACATCTATGCTGCAGCACAGCTGTACTATAAACATGGTGACTGTGTTTTCCCTACTGAAAGGAAAGAGTGTAAGACAGGCAGAGCAAGTTGTCTTTAAGTCAATGGACATGAGTTTTCCACTTTTGAAACAAAGCTGGGTATGACATCAACTAAATGAAAGGACTTCCACTTACTTTTCTCCCCTGCTATGGCCAGGTGTCTGGCCTTCAGTAAGGCTGAAAAAAGTATTAAGCCAAGCAATAGGAGGGATCCAGGCTTAATTAGAATAATTGCCTCTGTTGGACACGCAGAGGGTACCACTTCATTTCTGGGTTGCCATGACTTTTGGAATTTATGTAGCTTTACAGACTCATTAGGGAAATGCAGAAAAGTCTCTTGTCAATTAAACCACAAGGAACATTTTGCTATGGTGTTAGCTCAGGAGATCAGAATTTGCACGCTCAGAACAAGCACACATCAATCACATTAATGTCCACATACATACCATCCAAAATAATGTCCCTGTGGCAAGGGCTGCATACTGCTCGATTGTAGAAAGCACGCTGAAGATAAGGCATATCAGCACAATAAGGAAGCTGCAAATAAAAAGAAATTTAAAAATTAAAATAATGTAATGCAGTGTAATAACTGACAGAGAAAATAGATAATTATGCCATCACAAATCATCTGTTTACGTTGAAATGTCACTGGTATTGGATTATCCCAAAACACAGCTGGTAAATTTTGCATAATCCTGCTTCCTGTTGGATAGTTTATTTCTCTTCAGACACTGAGGTTTTGGGTTGGACATTATCAAAAGAAACCATATGGTAAGACTGGCTTTAGCCTGCCTCTAAGATTTGCTGTTTCCTGGCCCCTCATGGAAAGAGGATTCCTTGTTCCTTCCCATTTTAAGGACTTCTTTGGCTGAATCACCACACAACCCCCAAACATGTTTTAAATATTTGCCTTTTTGCTGATCCAAAGCCCAATAAACTGGGGGGAAAAAATCACAGCTAATCCAAAGTTTAATAGGCTGTGCTGTACTGTCTTTTATAATTGAACCCTAAAAGGCCCCAAATAAATTAAGTCTGATATTTGGCATTTGAAGCACAACCTAGGTCTGATTCCACCAAACTCCAAACCCCTGCCCTGGGCAGCCTCAGCAGTGCCCAGCACCCTGCAGGACTGCTGCTTCCCCTAAAGTAATCTAACTCATCTGGGGAGAAAACCACTTAACACCAAACTGGATGCTATCCACTACACACAGGCAGCTTCCAGTTCTCTAAGAACTGCACGTTTCTTTTAAAAACACAACATGAGCAATCAGCAAGACTGAAAACACCCACTTGTTAAATACAAAGTTAGTTGTTAGGGCTAATTCTCATAATTCTGTTGAGACAAGCCACATCAATCCTTTGTAGTCAACTGAAACTTGCTGCAAAATCCAGTGACTAAATCATCCATCCTGTTAGATATCTCTAAAACAGCTAACCATTTTTTAAACTTAAAGAAACCACAACAAAAAACAATTGACATAATGAATAAAACTCAACTCGAGAGAAGTATTGAACCAGGACATCAGATTGGCACAGCTCAGGTTAAGTAATCCAGAGCCTCCACCTTTATTCATAGAAGTGGAGCACCTCTTTGGAGGAATCTTTTGAAAGACCAAGCACTCAAGAAAAAAAAAAAACAAAAACTGTGTTGAGGTTGACATAAGCTACACCCCTCAATGATTGCTTCAAGATACAGTATATACAAGTCCAAAGCACATACATACAGAAAAATGATGCCAGAATCACATAATCATTACAGCTGGAAAAGACCTCTCAGACCAAATGTGACCTTTGAGATTATCGAGTCAAGCCTTTGAGATTGTGCTACCAAATAGAGGAGAGAAAGTTTGTAGGTAATTAGGCACAAAAATCAAATAGACAATGAAATTAATAGGACAGAGATCATCACTTATCAATACAAGTACCCATGTAAAAATGTATTTTACCTAAGCAAAATATAAGTATGTGGGTGTTTGATTCATCTCTAAAGTCTTCTGATTTTACCCTGTATCTCTACCTTTGGGCATTCTTAAGCACAAGTAAGCTGTGCAGACAAGACAGGAAAATGCAAAGGTGGGTCAGTCATTTGAAATATGGCATAAACGTTCCCTAAGTATCCAGCCCTTCTGTCTGCAACATTCTCACAATTGCATAAGAACAACACACGTGACAATGTGAACATAAATGGGGTCAGCTGCACAGAGACAGCTGAGGCTCTCTGGATTCCAAGTCCAACATACACAGAATTACCAGCTCAAAGCACACAGTGAGTTGCAAGGGATGAGCAGTACCGATTCACATTTACTACAGCCCTTAATGGCAGTAGTAACAATGGTACAATGTTTAACTCGGCCAGCACATGAAACCACAAGGGGGCAACAAAGCAAAGGCTATTCTGCTTCTGTCCTTTTCCTAAACAAACACAAAACCCTAGTAAAAATTGAAGTTGAAAGTTCACGTGCCGAAGTGACAAAAAGATAATCTTAGGATCAATCGTTTCCAAATCTCTTTTCTCGTTCCTACTAGAGAAATTGATGGCTGAGGTAAGAACTGCATCAAGTGCCAGTCACCCCACTACCTACCTACTTTTATGGGTTCACATGCACATGGACCCATTGCAGTCTTACTAATGTTTTTTTTTTTCAGCCTCCGAAAAGCTCTTACAATTCACTGCTGTGCTCTTTCCAGGCTGATGCATGAGACACCTTCATATCCACAAACAGACATTATGCCAAGCAAAACAAAGATGTTTGGTCAGGCACTGCTGCTTCATGTGTCTATTTCTTTGGCATGACAGAAATGACACCTTCCAGGGGCCAGTGCAGCACCCTAGCTCAGCTACTCACCCTGTTACACTGGCACTGCTATTTTGCTTGGATCAGTTGCACATAAAGAACAGAAGGTGAAAAATTAAGACATTAAACAAATACACACAGTGTCCTCCTCCTCTGGCATGAGCCTACTGTTCGTTGCCTTCCAAAATTCAGCTCTGGGTATTTTTTGTATTAGTGGCTCCCTTCTCCACCTCCATAGTATAAGACTAGAGTGAGGCACCAGTAAAAGAGAAAACAGGAAGTTTGGCACCTTATTTTTTTCCTTTCTCTTTTTTGACAGTTATCTCCTCTTCAGCCAGAAGTGGAACACAGATCCTCAGTTACTGCCTAGGCAGCAGACAAGTCCACAGGAGTTAGTTACAAACAATAGGTGCAGGGAAAGACTCTGCCTCAAACATGAATTTGTTTATGCAAAAATCATCCTGGGGCAAGTTAACTGGCCAGCCTCAGAAAAGCAAACATTACAGTTTTCACAAAATAACCTTATCACACTTACTTTACTGTGATTGTTATTACTAGATTAAAAAACAACAACAACCAACCAACCAAACAAAAAACCCTTGATACAGATGCTAAGCATGTAAACTGTTCATCCAGCCAGTGAATATCAGACAAACTAATGGGCAACTGACTCCTCTCTGGTATAGTTTTTTTTTAATATACATTTTTCCTCTAAAGGAGAGATAGCAAACACTGTCATTTCCTATACTCCAGCAGTCAGATAGGGCTTCATCTCTTGCATATCACGAGTCTTTTATCTCCTGAAACCCACTGCTTGTTTACCCTCTATCACAAATGTGACCATCTTCACGAAAGGAAGCAGAGCGATGAGTTCAGGCTCTCATCAGCTCTGATCTCACTCCGTGATTGTGGGGCCAAGCAAGCATTAGAGATGAGGAGATAGCCTGTGAAGTTTTTCAGTGTTTTCTCTCCCAGGTTGCAAAAAGCAGCATCTGCTTGAATGCAGATAAGTCCCATCAACTGCATCAGCAGATGCATTCAAAAATACTCTGCTTTGTGGGTCATATCTAACAGTGCTATGTTTTGGGGTTTTTTTTAAACCAAGAATTTTGCAAGTGGCTGATGATCTCTGCACTTCTTGATGTGAAACCACAACACCACTGTTAAAGCAGCTGGACATTACAAAGCAGCAGATGTTTTTCTTTCACGGACTCAGTTTTTGGTAGACCAGTACAAGGAGACCTGTGTCCTCTCAGACAGCACTGTTTTACTCAAAGCCAGTTTCTCTGGCTGTCTTTTCAACACGTTTTTCCCAGGTGGAGCCAGAAGTGAAGTTCTGGTGTGCATGGAACAGCACCAGGGTGCAGCACTCCAGTCACACTCACAGCTCACACACGTGCCCAGCCTGTAACACAGACTCGTCACTGCTACACCATCCTCCAAAAAGAACAGCATCAACACAGACTCAGGGTTACACAAGGCACTGTCTGCATAGGTGTGTTTATATGTCATAAATAAGTTTTGTCTTGCTTTATTGTGTCAGTCAGACGATTTAGGTAATTTTTTGAGAGGCTAGAGCATTTCCACGAAAGAATCATTCAGCAGACAAGGGAACATGGCCAGCCAGCATATGTGCTGTACTTAGCAACAGATAGGAAATACATTAAGAGCTAAAGGTAGATGTAATGTTTTCTGACTATTTTAGGCTATAATTTGACTTACAGACCGACCTATGGCTTTTTCCCTGACCTCAGTGTCAGCTGCAGGAACTTGACACATTATAGGTAGTTATCAGTACTGTGCAGCCTTCAGTCCTGAGCTGCTGAGTTTTTTCTATATTTAACTGTGATTTTTGAACATTAGCACGTCTTTTTTGTGGCTTGAAACAACGTGTGGAACGATCAAAGGAACAATAAACCACTTACTGAGAGATAACAATGCTCATTTAGTGAATGTCACAGGTAGGAGAACTGATAAAAGTTTATAAAATATGTCTAGTGATATGACCAGGAACACTTAAAAAAAACAGTGCATGAGACATGCTGGAAGTACTTACTCACCAGATTAATAGAGTCTCATGCACAGGCAGCTGTTATCATCAAAAGCAGTACTAACACGTGGGTAGATTTCATTCCTTCTTGCAGAGTTTCTTACATACTCCCAGGGGGAGTCACCAGGAACAGGCTGCCATTAGGCTATAAACTGAGCTGAGACCTTAAATACATTCAATAGATGAGAAGGGACATGCAGAGTTTAGCTCAATTTATATCAACTTCAGCTCTAACCATCCAGGAAGACAGACAGTTTTTCCTTGTTCAATGTCATGAGCTGCCTTAAGCCTGTTTTTTCCTAACCATTTTTATTCATTGCAGCTATCAGTCTTGAAGATATCCAAATACTGGTGCCCTTGCATACAGAGAATATTATTTTAGCTGGTAACTGCCAGCTAAAAAGCAGTTATCAGCATCTGTGCTTTTATTTGTTTGGCATTACATCAGTGGTTAGTTGCAGTTCATCCTCTCTGTCTACTGGGGAAAATGACTGTAACTGAAAAAGAAATATTCTGCAGAAAAAAAAAAAATCTTTAGTGTGTTTCTATGTGCTTAACATTCTACCTAAGCCTCCTTCTTGAATCTCCTATTTTTACACAACTAGACTGTCTTTCTTTGAATGCACAGCTCTGTTCAGTCACATATATCATCAGTCATATCTCCTGTAACTCAGGGTTTTGTTTTGTGGGAT